GGTCGCCGGCCAGCCTCAGAGTCTCTTGGGTTCAGCCGGGCCCTCCACCCCGCCGCCTTGAGTGCTGGAAGGAGCGTGTTGGGGGAGGTTCCTCAGCTGCTATGCTGGTTAAAGAGGGATGCAAAATTGTGTTACCTGCCCTACGCTGTTGCCTGTAACATGCTGCAAATATGAAGGGAATTGTTACCCTACCTGTGGCACTGTCACCTTGGAATCTAGGACACAGTCTTGATAACCTGCAGACAAAAGGTTGTGTCTAGGATCGCCTCCCTCTGCGCTGGGTATCCTCTTCCTCTTTTCCTGGGCTTGAGGGGACTTACTCTTCCAGGGGCTTTCAAAGCCTAGAATTTATTTCCCTCTGATCTAAGTTCTGCTGGCTCGTTCGGCCCTGCGCCAGCCTTGGGCTGAGACTCCTGTAAGCCGAATAGTGCCATCTACCATATGTGGTTATCAAATGGAATCACTTCTTCATTATAAAGAATTCTGAGAACCTGCTTGTACACCCCAGCCTGAAAATATCGATTCCATATGCGAAAGGTCACTACAGATTAACTGCGCCAGGCAAAGGTTAGTCCTTCACCAACTTAAATGGCTCATTTGACATTAGTCCGCTTCTCTCAATATGCCAAAGGCATTTCATTCACAAATCTTTTCTTAGTATTTGCTGTGAGCCAGCCATTTTACTCTTTCCTTCAGTCAACACGTTTAATACGGGCTAGGATGTGCTGAACATAGGGATGCCATGGTGGACAAATCATTCACTGCCTTCCGGAGCTTGCATTCCAGTGGCTGCGGGTGGGGCAGGCAGACAGTTAAGTAATTTAGTTAACATGTGATGATAGTTATTCTGCAGGAAGTGCAGAGTGGTCATGGAGATAGCCACCAGTCCACAAGTTGCTTAAAGCTTGCATATGGCAGTGGTTCAACAGGAAGATGGGGGAAGGAAGGGGTTCACTTCTTGATTAAAATGTTTGGAAGTTCAGTTGATTTCATCATCAGCCAGAACGAACGGTTCAAATGATGGAGTCAGTTCTTTGTCTAGCAGAACAGTTCCCAGCTGACGAATATGCAGTATTCTGAAGTTCTTTTAAGCTCATTGTTCTAGCTTTAAACAAGCTTTCCCCAGGGAGAAAAAACGTTCAAGCTAGATAAGAGTATTTAATACAGAGAAAGTAGAATTGCAACCATGATGCCTGATCTTTATTTATAACTTTCTTTGAGAAAACCCATTTTCTGTTCCGGCCATGAATTCCAGGAACCTACTTCCTTTCTTGAACAATCCCAGTTCCCCAATTCTCTATCCCTACCCTTCACTTCCTGTTATCATTTTCTTATTTGCCTAGCCAAGTATCCACTAACTTGGAGTAAGTTTGTCTTCAGTGGAGTGAGGTTCTAAAAAGGCCAGTGTTCTGGGTTTAGGACATGTTAAGTTTCTCTGACTTATTTATGGTTGACCCAGTTAGAGTTTGCTATCAAAAAGTTCCAAACCCATGTCCATGACCGTTCACTAGACCTTGGCTGATTTATGGTCAGTATTTGCTGTACAAGGACCAGGTCTCAGAGTGTTGGGGATGAGTGACTGGTTGTTTATCTCGTAGCTGTGGGTGGGGAGATGCCCTGTAGCTGTGCCTATACCGGTGGAGGAGATGCCAGCCTAGGCAAAAGTGAATCCTTCACATGCTACATGTTTTTAAGGACTCAGTTACCCCGTTGAGATACACGATCCAGGTGGTTGTAGAGCCACCCAGGGCTATCCTGGGTATGAGAGTGGATATCCCTAAAGACCTCTCTACCAGGTCTGTTGTTGGAGATGTTTTGGTTAGGGCAGCTGGTCTGTGGGGTAGGAGTACTGTGGAGTCCCATTGCTCAGTTGTATCACAGGTGATTTCATCATTCTTGGGGGTGAGGTTTTGCTTCCCCCAGCAGAGTAAGAAGCCCTTTTTACACAGTTACCTTAAATGAAAGGGGGTTCGTCTGCTTTTAAAATCAAAGGAGTTTTTGTACCATTGCCCAAGCAAGGGGCAGACCAACAACACAGCAAGAAGACCAGAGAGAGGGAGCCTCTGCTCCAGTGGGAGCCTTCTCCCTATCTGCTATTTGGTAATGATTAACGCCAGTTGAGAGGCACAAAACCAGAAGGACAGAGGTGGAAACTTTACAGGCCTTTTAACATTTTCCTTCTTCTGGGACCATTATTATTATTTTTAAAAATGATTTTCCATTTACTCCAAACACATCCATGTTCAAACTAGGAGGACAAAACCACATAGCAATGCCAATTCTAAAGGGTTTTTGGTTAACTGTTTTCTTGAATTATTGGTACCATCATGTACATCATTAAAAGTTACCTCACTATCCAGTTTCCTTTGGCTAGGAGACTTGCCTTCATACTCCTCGCAAACACAATTTTTGGAATCTCAATAGCGTTCAACTAGGAGATAACTAAAGAACAGATGCAGATTTTGCAGATTTTTCCTCAGCATAAGATGCAAATGCCCTGAAAATGGTGATATGTGGTATTAATGTACGTAAACAAAAAGTGAAGGGAAAAAGATTGCCTATGTAAAAATGGTTGATTTATGAATAAGCAATAAGCTTTACAGTTAGAAACATTCTTACCATCAAGGTACTTGCTGTTCCTAGGATCAGAGCTAGCTGTGATATTTAAATAGGAATAATTCTATTTAGTGTATTACTGTTTCTCTTCTGATGGTCATTCCGAGTTGCTGCCATCATCACTATTTTGTGTTTGTGTATGTGTTTGCTTGTTGTCTAGGCTCTCTGGAGGAGGAAGGTTGAAATACAATTCATTGTTTCTTGATTTCTTTAGACGTGAAATGAAAATGGACCTTACTTCTTTGTTCTAAGCCAGAGGCTCCTGCTTTGTCATTTTCTTCAAAATCATGAATCATACATTGTAGTATAATTTGTGCAGAATTTAAAACCCCCATTTACTATCAGGAACATGTAATCTATAACAAGCATTCGCCAGCAAAATTGTGATGCTGTGCTATGAATCTCATGTTAGATTCTGGTGTTCAAGAATGCATTATTTTTATATAAACTCTTAATAACCTTATTTTTTAGATCCTGGAATGACCAGTACATTAACATTATCCATGCAATAAATAGCTTTTCACGGCATTTTAGAAAGTGGAATGATTGCAGAAGAGGAAACTGTAATGGTTAACACACGAAAAGATGTTTTAAGTTCAGTGGTCATCTGGGACAGGCATATTAAAATGGCTATGAAATACCATTTCACACTTACCATATTAGCAAACATTAAACAATCTAACAGTACGAGTGTGATGAAATGAGAAATAGAAACTATACCCCATTTAGAGAACAATTTGGCACCATCTAGTAGAATTAAAACCCAACATTGAACTCGTAGGTACATATCCTACATTGTCCTTTGAGCATGTGCATAGGGAGATATGTGTAAGATGTTTACTGCAACACTGTCTATTATAACAAAAGTTAGAACCACCTGACTTTCAAAACAGGACTGGATAAGATGTGGTATAAATCTAATAGAATACAACATCTGAAATAAATGAACTAGATCTGTATACGACTGTATGGAGGAATTTCTAAAACACAATGTTAAGTGAAAAAAAGCAGAACAGTATATACCATGTGACACATGTTCTTAATACAAATTTTAAAAACACACAAACCAATACTATATTTGTTTCATAAATATATATAAACAGTGTAGAAATATAAGAACACGGAGTAGAAAGATCCACACCCAATTCATGAGATTGGTTGCCTCTTGGGAAGGAAGGGAAGGGGTGGGCTTAGGGGAGGGTACAAAGGAGATTGCATCTGTTATCATTTGTTGATTGTGATAGTAGTTTCATGAATCTTGTTTTTTGCTTTTCCATATTAAATATTTTTAAGTGAAAAGATGGTAAAGGGAAGAAGATACGCATATCTAGGAGAGAATACTATAGTTTGCAGTATGAGAATAACGGTTCATTCTTTTTTTAAAATCAATATTCCTTTGATCAATTATGGCTGTGAATTGTGGTCCTTTAAGCACAGGAGGGTGGGGTAGAGTGAGTTTTATTCAGCCTGTTTTCTTAAACTTCATGTAGCATGCTATCACAACTTACCTCCCCTGTCTGCTTATACGTGGCACCATGTCCCTCCCTCCACTAGAAATTCTTAGGTTTAGTGAGATATGACTGAGATCATAGCTGGTTCTTCTAACCTCCCTGGCATAAGCAACTGATGAAGTTCACACCATAAGCATTAGTGAAGCCCTTGTTCAGTTATAAAGACCAGCTGTCATCCCCAGGGTGTTCTCACCATCACTGAGGTTTCAGCCATGGTGAGAACCTATGGTCTTAGTAAGACCCTCTCATGACTCCAAAACATGTGGCCATTTACCAGGGCTCTCTGCCAGTTTGAGCAAGTTTTATGCTGCTCCTACTGTCAAATTTTATTTCTATCAGCCCTCACACAGTGGCCTGGAGGTTGGGTCTCCTGAGGGTTTATGGTGATCTGGGAACTTATGCCTTTCACCAGTTTAGGTGGGTGGGGCAAAGAGACACACACAGGAGTTTGGTCAAAGAAACCAAAGCCACACTGGCCCCCACACCCTCAGGAAAACTGTTGTTGTCCATAGACAGACACTGCCCCCTAGTGTAAAGCAGATAAACTTGCTGATCTGTCAGACAGATTTTCATCCGGGGAGGTTGTAGAGATACAGGAGGCCTCCAAAAGGGTTAAGGAGCTCCTTTGGGCCTGGATGTCTCAAGAATTAGGACATTCCATGGGAAGCAACTAGCCTGATGCCTCTGCAGCACCCAACCCCCCCGCCGAATGCCTTCCAAGGCCATCCATGGCTGTTTGACTTGTGCCTTGACAGTGAAGGTATTATTTCCCAAGATAGCACAAAAAAAGTCATTAAAGTCATGAAGACGGGCAATGTGAATATGGCAGAAAGAACACTAGGCTTGAATGCTGTGCTACTCTGCTGCAAGATGGCATTATTAGGCAATTGTTATTAGGCAAATGACCCCTCAGTCTCTACTGTGCGCTTGGAAATGACTGGATCACGAAAGTTTAATTTGTTTTGCAAGTTTAGGATTTCTCAGAGTTTCCCAATGCCCGGCAATTAATTGGCCTTGTGGCAGTGTTGACCCTAGGTTTCAGAATACTGGCTTAGTTCATCACCATAGGTAGAAGTTGCCTTAGAAGAAAAAGACTCTCAAATCCGAAGATGCTCACAGCTCAGGACTCTCCTCTCTGACTTCTTTGACCAAACACTCATAGGAACTGATATCTGCCTTCATCGGACACAATACAGTACTCAACAAATGGCATATGGTGATTGTAGAATAAAGAGAAAATATAGA